CGGGCTACGAGTCGGTGAAAAACGGGACCATCTGCAGAGGTAACTGCTTGCCTTCGGTCTCGCTCCGCGCACTTGCCTCGCTGCCGGTGGGCTGTGCATTGGGATCTGCACGAGCCGCCTGGGAGTGACCTTCTTGGGCAGGGGTGGGAGAGGAGCACGTGGGGACGTGGGAGAGGAGGATGTCTGTGGACGCTTCCCCAGCTCCTCAATTCCTACCCAATTCCAATGGGCTCATCCATCCATTGCAGAGGCTCTGCGTTACCTCTGGGTCCTCAGAGCCACCGGGTCCAGGGGTGCCGGCCTGTTGCTGGTGCCCTCCATGCTCTCCAGGTCTTGGAGGGACACACGTGTGTAGCCACCAATCTGCAGTCACCCCCCAAAATACTGGGGCTGTTTTCCCTTCGGTTTGCACCCTGTGCCTTGACGTGGGCTGAAATGCTTCTGGGGTGAGGGGAGCGGGAGTGCAGGCACCCAAAGGTGATGCGGTGGGAGGGAGCAAGTTGTCTGCAGCGTTTTCCTGGTGAGGTGCAAATGGCCCAGGATGGGTCATGGTCACAGGCTCACCTCTCTGACCTGGGCACCTCCAAGCCTGGCCCCCGAGTTCCCTCAGCAGCCAGAGGTCTCCTGCCCTGTAGATCTTCTCCTGCTCTGTAGGTGTTCTGCTGCACTGTAGATGTTCTCCTGCTGTGTAGATGTTCTCTTGCACTGTAGATGTTCTCTTGCACTGTAGATGTTCTCCTGCCCCTCTAGATGTTCAAAGCAGACTCTAGGAGAGCCAGCTCAACTCAACTGAGCACCTTGGAGCCAGCGTGGTCCCAGGCAAGCGAGAGGCTCTGCACCACCATCCCTGAAAGCACCGTGGGATGGTGCTTTCCATGCTCTCCAGTGCTCCTGGAGCAAACCCATCTCCGTGCTCCGCCGCAGTCATGCATGGGCTTGGGGAGGTTGAGAAAGGAGCTGCTGGGGTTATCGGGAGAGAGATGGGGACTTGAGAGCTGCATGTTTAATGGGCAGCTGCGGCTGTACCATGCACAGAGCAAACCATGGCATTTTGCAAATGGACTCTTTTCCCCTCTGTCCTGGCTGAACATCAAAATCCCATTACAGTTTCGATAGCATCGGCACGCTCCTTGAGATCAATTATAGATACGTCAGTGGGCATTGAAGAGTGCAAGGAAGGAGCTGCGTCTCCTCTCTTCTTGCTGTGGGAAGGGATGGCCGGGTAGCACCGAGCAAGCATGGGGAAGATGTTGGGGAGATGGACACACCGGAGAGGGGCACAGACAGTCTCTGGCCGTGCTTGGTTGGGACTGCAAGTTGGATAGTCCCCTTGGAGAGGGCACCGCATCTTCTGCTGGTGGCTGGGCTGTTCATGCGTCAAGCGTCCTGATGTGCTGGGGATGTCATTTAATATCTGTGCTTTGAGCTACTCCTCACTGAGCCACTCAACATCTCTTCCCACTGAGCTTGGGTGATCAAGTGTCCTCCAGCTGTAGCAGACATGGTGCTGGGGACAGGGACAGCAAGGAAGTCCTGCTGCAGCGCAGTATGGAAAGGGAGCCTGGCTAATCCCAGCCCCGAAGGGAAGACGGGTGTTTTACGACGCCCGAGTGAAGCATTCATAGCAACACCAGAAAGCCAAAATGATTCATGTCAGCTTTTCCATCCCAGCCTTTTTTTTTTTTCCCCCCGAGCAGACCCAGCCCTGCACAGCGCTTTGCTCTGATGCAGCTTTTTTGGCCTCCCCGGTCCCGCTGCCAGCCCAGCCAAGGGACAGTCCCTTTGCATGCCCCAGGTCTCCCAGGACCTCCTGATGCAGAGCCCTGTCCCTGCAGCCTGGCCCGGCGGGGCCGGAGGGGGAGGCAGAGCAGGCAGGAGCGGGGGGCCAAGGTGGAGGGAGCTCTTCTATCATTAAACTTGTCCCTTTCCTCTCTGCCTGTTTGGGGTTTTTTTCTTTGGTTTGTTGCTATTTTTTTGTTTCACTTACATGTACAGACTGACAGTATATTTTAGGGGAAATCTGTTTTCCATGCTATCTTGTTAATATGAAATCTCCTGCCTTCTGCCTTCCTCTTCCTCTTCCCCTTCCTTTTCCTCTTCCCCTTCCCCTTCCCCCTTGGGGCTGTGCATCGGGGCTGGATGGGACCCCAGGGCTGTGCCAGACTGGGACACGTCCTTCGTCTTCCCCCAGCAGCCCCCAGAAGAAGAGTGGGGACCGGGAGGAGAGCCAGCCACGGAGCTGGCAGGACAGCCGTAGCATCCCCATCCTCTCCCCCCCATCCTCTTCCAGCACCCCCAGTGAGCCCCACAGAGGACTGGGGAAGGGACTGGTCACCCCAGCTCGGTTGGGCAGAGAAAGGGCTCTTCTCCCCAGCTCAACT